GGCCATTTCGCGGCCGCCCCCGAGCCCCGGCACAGGCGCCGATTGCCAAGCGAGCCTGAGCTTGGCACAGCTGCGAAGGGCAGCGGGCGAGTTGAGCTGCGGCGAACCCCCCCTCTGGCGCAAGCCCGCGGACTCCTGCGCGGCGACGTCGGCGATTGCAGCCGAGCACCAGGACATCCCGAGCCTGAGCATCATTCGCGACGATGGGCTTTGCTTCTGGGAAGTGGCACTGCGTCGACATTGATCGTGCGAGACGACATGCAGCCCGAACTCTGCGATCCACCCCGCCACGTCCCGAGCGCACCAAAATTTGAATGGGCGCGGGTGGTGACCTTGGTCTCGAGGATGCCCTCGCCGCGCCCATCCCCCGCGCAGGATGACCCCGGTGAGAAGCTCGAGGCACAGAAGGAAGATGTATGAAACCAACGCACAGGCTCGGCGCTCGGCCTCCGTCAGCCCCGGCAACGACAAGAAAGGATCGCGTCTGGGGCGCAGAGGTCTCGGCCCCCGCCGCCCAGCCAGAGCGCGGTGCATGGCGCGGCTAATCGTCGAGCATGGCGGCCCAATAAACGAGCGCATCGCGTCGCCGCTGCTGCAGAGCCCCGTCAGCTCCTGCGCCGGTTTGGCGGACGCGGGTCATGGCTGGCGTCAGCGACGGGGTCGTAGGCGAGCGCCTTGGCCGCCGGGCCTGCCTCCCACACCCCCCTCGCTCCTGGGCCCCGAGCAGACGCGCGGGAAGATGGCGTCGCGGCTGCGCCGGCCCGCGGGCGCGGGGGGCGCCCCTCCGCGCGGGGCAGAGGCCGCGGCAGCTCTCACTTTTTGCCGTCAACCAGCACGCCGCGCCAACTGCCGGGCTCGTCGGCGGGGTTCTTCCGCGGGGAGACCCAGAAGTGGAAGTGGGAAAGCCCGCCCGCCATCTCGATGGCTGCGCCGCGGCGACGCCGCCGATTCAGCCTGCGGCTGGCGCTCCGGTCCGCGATGAAGGCGCCATCGCACGACGCGTTGTCCTCAGCGCGCGGGGCGCGGCGCCCCAGCTCGGCGGGGCGATGCGGGCGAGCATCCCCGCCCCGGAACTTCGCGCGCGCTTCCTCCAGGGCGACGCGCTCGAAGCCGCCAGGCCGGCCAACCTTGAACCAGCGCGGCGCGAGTGGCAGCGCCGCTCGGGCAAGGCTGCAACGCCGCTCGACGTCGATGCCGAAGCCGTCGCCAAGCGCAGCGCACGGCGCCCCATGGTCAGCGCACTGCGCGATGTGCCGCGCCGACTCCACGGGCAGCGAGGCCCAAGCCCTGCCGCGCCCGCCCAGAAACGCGTCGGTGCACTCGACGCGGGCGCGCCGCTCGGCGCCCGGGCCCTGCTCGGCAAAGGGCGAGGGCATGGTCGACAGCGGCGTCTCGTGCCAAGCCAGCAGGCACCAGGCCGCGGGCTCGCGGCCCCTCGGCGGCAAGCCTTCCAACCACGTGCGCACTTGGGAAAAAGCAGAACACAGGCAAGGTCGGTAGCTCTGACAGCAGCCGCGTTTGCCGACCAAGCGCTCCGTTCCCTTGCGGCAGACCACCTGCTGGCCGAGGAGGCCGAGGGCAGCGGCGAAGAGATCGAGCCGCCGCCAACGGGTCGCCCCCGCCCATGTGTTGAGTGGGATGCACTTCGGTCCCCTGGAACTCGCCCTGGCCGCGTCTACGGACTTCCCATGATGCGCGGGGGCGCCCGCGCGGCCCGGGGCCCGCTCGGCCCCTAGTTGCCCGGGAGGCCGCCGAGCTCTGGGCCCGATCGCCAACTGAGCGCTCGCCCAAGGCCCGAAGGTCGTCCACGGTGGACCCCCAGAGCGGCAGCTCGGTCGGACAGGGCTCGTCGAAGGTCATCCCACGGCCCTCAGCCTCGACGAGAGCAATGTCTGAGGCCGCCTGCGCCCGGCCCGCCGACGGGGCGAAGCCCGCGGGCGCGGCGCGGTGGGAAGGGCAGACCTCGGAGGCAGCCCGGCGAGGGCCAGGCACTGGCAGATGGGCCGCGCACATGCGCCAGCCCTTGCCGATCGCCAAACTGTGAAAACAATGCCGCGAATCGCGGTCCCAGAGCATCGCCCGCGTACCTGGCCGCGTCTGGGCCGCGCGCAGCCTCGGAGGGTATGCAAAAGTCGGGCGAGGCATGGCGGCGGGGCCCAGCAGCTGTCTCGCTGGCAGATCCGAGATCACCCGCTGCTCCGCGTCGGTCTTCCTCACTCCGAAATCCCCCGCGACGAGGGGGGCGCCGCGGTGCTCGCGCGCCCCCTTCTCGGGGCCGTGCCTCTAGATGCTCGCTGCCGCATAGCGAGTGGCGAGCCGTGGACAAGTGGGCCCCGCTGCGAGGCCCCTCGGGCCCGGCAGGCCGCCGGCCCACGCTCGGGAGCAGCGAGCGCGGATGACGAACCTGGTCTGCGAGTCCAGGGAAGCGCTCGTCGAGCAGGCCTGCCGGGTCGACAGCGGCGGCGCGGCCAGGCACTCCAACGACGCACTTGCTCGGCTCGCAACCGTCGGAGCGAACGGGATTTTCTGAATTGTTGCCGCCTCGGGCCAAGCCAACTCCGCCTCGTGGAACCGGGGGGCGTCCATCAGCACGCGCCCGTGCGCGCGTCTCTGGGCTTGCGTAAGCGCCGCATCGTAATCGCCGACGGCCCCGTGGAGCTCATTGAGAGCGACGCGGCATCTTTTGCCCCAAACCACAATTGCGCCCCTGCGCGCGCGCCAGAACTTTGCGAGCTCGGCGCCATGACACCGCAGCAGTGGGGCTGGGAACCGCCGACCGCGACGGTGGCCAAGCTGGACTCCTGGCCCCCGCGGCGCAGCCACCTCTGCCGCGCCCTCCGCCACCTCGTCACATGATGAGCTCGAGGAGCCCGCCGGCGGCGAATCCTTCCCCTGCGCCCATCAGCAACTCCGCGGCATCCGCCTTCTCCCAGGAACCGCCCTTGGACTTGGCCCGCTGGATGACGATGATGCGTTGGGCCAGCGCGCCCACGGCCGTGGCCAGGTCCTGTGCGTTGATCAGGTCCATCACGAGGGCCTGCGCCCAGGTGGTGACAAATACCTGGCGGAACTGCTTTGTCCGCGCGAGGCACCCACGGCTCAGCTTGCGGTGCGCCATCGCCAGGAAGTACTCCGATAACGCGCCTGGGTGCTTGGCCGCGAACACCAGAAGGTCGCCCTTGGCCTTGAACTTCTCCGTCCCCAGCTCGCGCTCCTGAACGGGGTCCAACCGCCGGCTCTTGGCCACGGGGCCCTTCCATTTCAGGCACTCGCTGCTGCTGGAGGAGCTGGCGTCGTCGCTGCTCGACGAGTCGCTCGAGTCGGGATGTTTCTTCTGATTGTTCCCATTGTGGTGAATTGTATTGTGTTTTTTTTTGTTAATCTTCTTGTCCTTCGAAGGAGCCGCCGTCGCTCTGCAGCTGGCTCTGGATGGCCCGTGCCTCCTGCAGCGTCGTCGCCAGGTCCAGCGACGCCGCCGCTGCTCCTGCCGCCGCAGTAGGCACGCCCACCGCTGCGAAACCCAGATCCGCGGCAGCCGCGGGTGCCGCCGCGCCAGCGCCTGGTGCCACAGCCGCGGCGCCTGGAGCGCCGCGGCCGCCGCGACCGTCCCGGCGGCGGCGCGGACACCAGGCCCCCCCACACCGGCGGCGGAAGAGGGCCCCCCACGGGCAAAAACGCCAGTAGCCTAGGCAGCTGCGAGCCCGCGTCGACCACGACGGCACCTGGCAGGGCCAGTATCAGCAGCGCCGTGTCCACGCCCTGGGCCTTCTCACGGAGGGCGGCGAGCTCGGCCGCGCCGGGTTCCCACTGGGCGGCCGCGCGCGGCGGCTCGCAGACCCAGGTGACCGCCCCAGCAGCGATGTCAAAGGGGGGCGCTCGCAGAGCTCCACCGCCAGGCACGACGGCGGCCCGAAAGTGCCCCGGCAGCAGCCGCGCCAGAACCCACATGAACTTGGTTCCCGTGTCGTCGGTGGTCAGGCCGAGGCTGATGTTCTTCCCCTGCACCCGGCCGAAGATCAGCACCGCGTCCCACTCGCCAGCGCGGGCGACCAGCACCCAGTAAGGCGCTGCGGCGCCCGCGGCCACGCCCCCAGCCAGCGCCATCTCTACCAGCGCGTACTCCAGAGCGGTTGAAACCGCTGCGAGCTCGCGACGGCGCGCGCCCTCGGCCCGCCGAGCCTCGCGGCGACCACGAAGCCACGCAGCGCGCCCCTTGCAGAAACCCCCGCGGGCGGCGGCCGCCCTGCGAACGGCCCTCCAGGATGCGCGCGCGCCCCCGTGCCGCCTCCTCGCGGTGCTCCCACGCGAGAGCCGCCAAGGAGCTGAGGTAGCTGGCCAGCGCCTGCAAGGCTCCGAGAGGTATCGAGGATGTTTTTGGCCGTTTTCCTCGCCCTCCTCCTCCTCCTCCTCCTCCTCCTCCTCCTCCTCCTCCTCCTCCTCCTCTCCCCCTCTTCGTCCTCGTCCTCGTCCTCGTCCTCGTCCTCGTCCTCCTCCTCCTCCTCATCCTCCTGCTCCTCCGATTCCTCCTCCATCCTCCCCCTCTTGGGGTACGAAGTCTTACCCACTCCTTTATTGCACTGCATGCTCCGCCACGTACCTGATCAGGGAAAATCGTCTGGGCATCGCTTCTGGATGGGCTGAGTTACTTCTTTTTGTCAGCAGCCGCGAGCGAAAGCGCAAACGGCGACTCGAGTCAGAGAGGGCCACGCAAAGACGAATTACCTAAAGCGGCGGGGCCTCAGGCAGCACCACGGCGGGCAGGGCCAGCGGGTCGGGCTGGAGTTATTTTTTAGTCAGCAGCCGCAAGCGAAAGCGCAAACGGCGAGTCGAGTCAGAGCGGGCCACGCAAAGACGAATGACCTAAAGCGGCGGGGCCTCAGGCAGCACCACGGCGGGCAGGGCCGGCGGGTGGGGGTGCAAGCTGCGGCTGCCGGGAGCTGAACCAGGGCAGGGCGCAAATTGGCAACGGGCTGGAGTTACGCAAAGCGTCGAGAATTATCTACCCACATGGCCTCGCCGTTGCCGATGTTGGCCACCGACGGGGATGAGCATGGAAGGTCCCGAAAAATATAGACGAGCCCCAACGGGTCGGAGGGGATTTGCCGCAGCGGGTCGGAGAAGTTGACGAGCGACCCCACGGTGATACCCACGGTGATCCCCGTGGACGCCCATGGGTTCGTGGTCTGGTTGGCCTGCTCGGGGGTGAGCCCCGAGGTCTCGTTGCTGATGTCCGCCAGGTAACTATCGCCCATGTAGACGGTGTCCATGCTGCAGCTGGCGTCTCCCGACGCGGCCACCAGCGCAGGCTTCCGCGCCTGGGTCACAAGCACGTCCTGGACCGTGACCGATGCAATCAGAGAGGACCACTGGGTCTTGCCGAAGACCTTGAGGAACTGCTGCGGCGCGGCCTCGTCGTCCTGCTTGTAGGCGATGTCGTACAATTGATGCGTCAACTGAGCCATCCTGGAGCCCATCTGGAAGAAAGAGAGGACCTCCTTTGACACCTGCTCAACCTGGCTCTTCTGGCCGTCCTCGCTGGTCGTCGTGAGGTCGCTGGAGATGAGTTCCCAGGACAGGACCCGGATGCCCACGATCGCCCCCAGCACCAGGAAACCCATGCTGAGGGACACCATGACCATCGCGGACTTCGCGTGCCTGCAGACCGTACGCTTCTTCAGATCGCGCCGCCACTGGGTTGCGCTGTCTAGGGAGTTCGTGTAGCGGAGTTTGCTGTCCTTCACCGCGTCCGAGGCGCCAAGACTGGCCGGGCCACGGACCTCAATCACGCGCTCCTCGCAGAGCCCGCACTCGCTCTCCAAGCGGTCGTTGACGTCCGCCTGCGAGGGTGTGCTCGCCATGGCAATCAGGCTGCGGGCTTGTGCGCTGACAGGCCGTGCTCTGGCGGACGGTTGGACGCTGCGAACGATCCTCAAAAGCTTGGGTGAAATGCCAAGATAGTGAACGGGTACTGATGGAGCGGGAGAAAAAGGATGCAGACGATGACGATGATGATGATGATGATGATGACGACGATGAGGATGATGAGGATGATGACGACGATGGCGACCATTATGACGACGACCACGACGATGATGATGCTGGTGATGATGGTGCGGGTGAAGCTGGTGATGATGATGCTGGTGATGATGGCGATGCTGGTGGTGATGATGATGCTGCCGCTGGGCAAGACTTCGTACGCCAAGAGGGGGAGGATGGAGGAGGAATCGGAGGAGGACGGAGGAGGAATCGGAGGAGCAGGAGGAGGAGGACGAGGAGGAGGGGCGGAGGAGGTGGAGGAGGAGGAGGAGGAAGAGGAGAGGCGTTAACAACAAGATGGGCATGACGGTTGCGATGCTAATACACAAGGTGACTCTCGCCTTGGCGCAGCGTTCATGTGTAGCCTTTTCTGGGAACAGCCAATCACTACGCGGAAGGAGGGATGCCTCATTCAGAAGCAGGTATGCCTCATCTGAAAACGTGGTCCTCGCCTCAGCGTCGAAAGCATGTGTCTTGAATTCGCCGACCCTTGTGGGTCTCCAGGCGCGTGAAACTTCTCACCCCTGCCGCCCCCCCCCCGAAAAGGGACTCCAAACGGGAAATTCGACCCCCCCCCAACCCGGCACGACCCCCGCAAGAATGCGTGGGGGGATTCAGGCTCTCTCGGTGCTTTGGGTTCCGAAGCGGCACCAGTGGCACCCGAGGCGGTCCAAGACGGCTCCGAATCGCCGAAATCTGCCCGAGACGCTCGACATGGGGTCCAGGCGGTGTCCGAGACTAATCAAAAAAACGTCCATCCCGTTAGGGAAACGCATAATTGTACAATCTAGGCTTTTTGGGGCTTTGGCACCGGCCAAGACAGCCCAGGTAACTTTCAAAATCGTTCCAAGACAGCCCAAAAGCCCCGAAGAGGACTCCAAGCCGGTCCATGACAGCCCCGAAACAGCCCAGGAGGCCTCCAAGACACTCCGAGACGCCCCAAGCGGTCCAGGAGGCCTCCAAAAAACGACCACGCGGAAGAACGCGATGTGCTTGTCGCGTTCTTCGCCCAACAAGACTGCGGAGACAGCCAGCAAACGCCCCATCGGCCCGGTAACGGGATAGGCCACACACCTGCGGTTCACAACCCAGGCGCGAGACGCTCAGACAAGCTCGCGCACTCTCCGTCGCAGTAGCCCAACCACATTACCTTGTCCTCTACCATAATATACGGAAGTTCCCCCCCCCCCCATGGCGGGCGCGATCTCCCGCTGCGATCCGCGGCAGCTGCTGCCCGCGCGCCCTCGCCCGCCGCGCCGCCCCCCGCGACGCGACGCGGCGCCGGAAGTCCTGGTCGGGATACGTCGCGAAGGCCAGGCGGCCTCCGCAGATGTCCCCCCCCCGGAGTCGCGCGTCATCTGGCGAGGTCGGACGGGCTTCCCTGCCCGCCGCCCCATCCTGCGCGCTCGCAATCTTGTCTATTATCGTTCGATAGTGCCGCGGCGTTTTCTCGATCACGCGCGCCTCCTTGCAAAGCTGCGCCGTTCGCCGGCGACCCCGCCGCATCTGTCGGCCCGCAGCTCCAGAAGTCTCGCGCGCGTTCCGTCGGCGATCCTCGCCGAAGTTCGTCTCGCACCCCACAGAACCAATCGCCCCGTTCCTCCGAGCGCCGGCGCCCCGTCACTCCCCGCGCTGATTATTCGCATCCCGCGCCCCGGAAGATTTGCTGCCCGCGGTCCTCCGCGGCGCCCGGCGCGCGCGTTCTCGCGCGTTTCAGGCGCGATCTCGGAAGCGCGTCAACGGCCGTTCCCGGCGGTTCCAGCCGATGACAATCTCGCGCCCGCGCCCCCGAATGGCCCGTCCACGCCGCTCGCCCCGGCCATCGCCGCGCTCGCCGCGGACGCGCGCAACCGCAACTGCGACTCTAACTCCAAGAAGCTCTCGGCGCCCATCGCGCTGATCTCGCCGGCGATCAGCCACTTCCACTGCGACGTACTCTGGGAGGCCCCCCTTGTTCGCGCCCACGCCGCATTCGCCGCGGATCGCGCCCCCGCCCAAAGCTGGGGCGCTCGCGGCCTGCATGGCTGCAGCCTGGAAGTCTGCGCCGCGCGCCCAGCCCATCTCCTGTTCGAACAATCCTTTGCGACTTTTCTCTTGGGCGAAACTCTTCCCAGCCCCCTGCGGGGCCCGCGACGTGGGCCCGTTCTCAGCGCGCGCCAACCCGTTCTTCTCCCCGCGCGCCCGCGAAGCAAATTCCCGCGCAAGGGCCTCGCCTGCCACTTTCTCCGCGACGCCACGTTGTCCCGCATTCAGTTCTCCGCGCGCAGGGCCTCCCCCGTTTCCGCGCGCGAGAAACCGCTGCTGTCTTCCCCGACGCCGCGAGCGGGTCGGCCTGCGCTGCCCCCCGCGCTTCCTTTCGCGCTCTTGGCGCCGCGGCCGCTGCCTGCGCCCTTTCCTTTTTTCACTGCTTCGTCGCCCTGTTTCGACAGCCCGCCCCTTGCGGGCTTCTTTCGCTTTCTGCTCCTCCGTTTTCGCACCCTCGCCCCGCGCGGCGTCTTCCCTGGCCATCGCCTCCCGAATCCTGCCCTCTTGAACCCCGGCTGCGGCGTTTGCCCGCCTGTCCTCTGTCTCCATGTCCGACCCGTCTCGTTGCCGCGTCCACTATGCCGGGGTTCAACTCGCCGTCGCTGCGCAGCTCGTCTTCGCGCTCGACGGGGCCCCCATCTGCGACGGGCCGCAAGCCCACTGCCGCCAAGAAGCGCGCGGGAGGCCCGCGAGGCCCCCAAGAAGCCACAAACGGCCCCTAAGACGTCCAAGGCGCATCCAAGAAGCCCTTGAGAGGCCCCGCGAAAAGGAAGAAAACAAAAAAAAAAAAAAAAAAAAAAAAAACGAACGTACAATAGGCTTCACGCCTGCAGCCCAGCGCGGCGGCGGGATGGCCCGACGGCCATTCGACGTCCAACGCGGCCACGCATGACCTCCGCCACGCATTCAAGAAGCCCCCCAGAATACTCCCATATAGGCTGACGCGGCCACGGAACCACCAAGAAAACCCTTGACACATATACCGCGTCTCCAACGCCTACGGGAAATCAATGCGATTTGCCTTCTCGCCTATTCACTTTCGATAGGTTTTGAACAACTTCAACGCGGTAGCCAGACGGCTGAGAGGAGCCCGAAGAGGGGCCCCAATGCGGCCCCAAGAACGCCCCCAAAGACTGCTTTCGGGCCCCGCAGGGGCAGCGCTCTTAGGGGGCCGCCCTTTTCTGATCGATGCCCTCCTAAATGGGCCCAGCGGCCTCCCCGAGGCCTCCGACCGCCTCCGCCCCCTCATTTCTCTTGTGCCCCCGCCCCCCTCCTCCTCCTCCTCCTCCTCCCCCACCTTGTTTACTCACTCGTGCGCCATTCACGCTACGAACCACTCGCGTTCAAAACTGACCACGCGAAAGCTCGCTCGCGCTAAGACGGCAACGCGAGGCCGGGCCCTTCGCCAGGCAACGTGCCCGTCGAACGTTCTGCCCCCGAAATGTCAAAACGTCATGTCAAGACGGCCCCCCGGACCCCCGCGACTACCTGGGACGGCTCCTACGCATCCCAAACAAGCTCCAAGATGCCGCCCAAATCGCCCAGGATGGCCCGAGAAGGCTGCAACGTGGCCCCAGGGCGCTCTGAATGCGGGCCACAGAGGCCTCAACGCACTCCCGAGATTGCCCAAAATGGCCCCGTGGGCCACGAGGTGCATCCGAAAGGCCCCGCGATGCCCGAGATGGCCCCCCCGCCCCCCGCATATAGCCACAAGGCTGCTCAATCTAAGGTCCGCCGGCCTAGAGCGCATTCCTGCCGATGCACGACCTGGCTGCGAAGCGCCTCTTAAAAAACGGAAGCCCCCCCCGCCCCCCCAGGCCTCGCCCTGCGCCGCCGCCCCCCGAGGATTTATTCGAATTCGGGTTTCGGAAAATCGCTGGAATGCGCGAGGGCCCCATAATTGCCTTCAATGCCCCCGCAGGGCCGCCGACGACGTCCGAGACGGCTCCGCAATGCTCCCGAACGGCCCAAAATGGACCCCATGCGGCCTGAGAAGGCCCCCCCAAAAAACGCCCCGGAGGCCTTCCAGAAGCAAGCGTCGACGATGTTATTTTTATGGTCGAAGGTTTGCCGCGTCGCGTGTATAAGATGCCGCCGGAACCAATGCAAGACGACGCAATGGCAGAAAACTTTAAAAGCGCCCCGAAATCGTCCAAGAGTGCCCCAGCTCGGCCCATCAAATTTCCAAGACGGCCCGAGCGGCCACCAAAATGTTCCCCAAGAGAAGCCATAAGAGGGAACTTGAACTATCCTTGGGAGCCCCCCCCTCCAAGATGGCCCAAAAAGTCCAACGCGCCCTCGGGAAACCGCCGCCATTTCCCCGGACGCCCGCAAGGCGCCGGCGCCGAACCCCGAGAGAAGTCGATCAAAGGGCCGGCCCTTCAAACGACCCCAAGACACCCTCGACAGGCTTCACGAGCCCCCAGACCTCCAAAAAGCCCCCAGCACACCTTTCAAACAGAGGGGGAAGGCGAGGGAGACAAGGAATTGGAGGAGAATGAGCGAGGACGCGGGAAGAGGAGGGCTCGGCTGCGGAAGAACATCGAGTCAGTCACTCTTCTCCCACGTCGCCCGCCGAGCAGCTACTGACGACGCTTTCGCCGACTCAGGCCGTGAAGAACGTCTTGGGCGCCCGGCATTCCAAGGCGCTTCTTAGCAACTTCTCCCCGCGCGTCTTCCGCGCGCATTTGCGCTGCACTTTGCGCGCGGCGCCCATGGCTGCTCCACAAAGCCGCGCCGTGAAGATGTAGAATGTAGCCCCTGTCGCTCTTGCCAAAAAACTCTCTCTCACATCCTTGCGCCCGATAGAGGGTCCGCCCCTTTGTAAGTCCGAGGGCGGTGCGCCGAAGCGCTGTGGAATTGACATAGTTTGCTGGCCA